GTGTATCTGCGTGTGTGTAGATGCTTTCTCGCAGGTATGCGTGCGTGTGTGGGCGTGCACTCTAAAATAAAACAGTCCCAGAATATAAATTTGCCAGGAGCAGAGCAATCAAGAAGAGAAACAATACAAACAGATGGATCCATCTCCCCCCGCAAACATACACCAACATTCACAAATTCAGACACCACACGCACACAGATGTCCATAGTTTCAAAGGTTGTAAACAAAGTGCCTCCTCCATTAACACTGCTGGTGATTCTGAATGCTTTTGCTCAACAAACTGTAACACATTCAATAACACCCACATGCATTTGCACCAGGCAGGTATTGTAGTTGCGCTTTCATGAACCAAGTTCTTCTACTGTGAAAGAGAGCAGAGTTACCTCTCTGGAAAAGGTTAGTTTTTGTAATTAGAGGGAGAGTCTGACTCCAAAATAAACGACCTGCAACACCAAGAGCACTCATAGGAACAAGCCTTGGATGCATGTTTATAACATTCTCTCAATTTGCCCTCCTGGTCATGGCCAGAACGGAAACAAAAAAGACAAATACTGTATCTATCAAAGATATTTCACTTCAACCTCACAACACAGACAGGCTTAAACAGCGTTCATAAAGGCTATCATGACTTTTTTTGTTAATACAACTTACTTTTAGTGAGTGAAGAGTACAAAACTTAATTCTAAAGGGAAACAGAGTCAAAGAAAATATCACCTAAAAAAATCAATACGGGTCAGACACTGTCAGGATGAATGCCTTCAAAGGAGACATCATGTAAAAATGTGGAGGCATATTTTGGCTCTTGATCAGAGATTCCAAAGAAGCTCGGAAAGTCTCTCTTTTTTCCCCGTCGTTGTCATAGTCTCGCTATGCCACCCTGGTCAGACAATCCCAACAAAATATCAGGTTCCAGTTCTTGTTCGATATATTTTTTCAATTTTGGGCAACTGCCAGGTTAATAAAATGTGTCCCGGGAGAAGAAATTGGTCTCTGTGTCTCTGCAACTGTGCATGGTGACATGCTGTGAGTAATACGGGCCAGCGACATAATTTAGCTCAGAACAAAGTGTCTTCCTGTGTGTTACTGTGAGGAAAAAACAGCGGCGCTGAGAGATGGGCACACTGGGCAATAACGAAAGCAAGCGTGGTTGTTTTTACTTTAAAATATGATGTCAGGTCGGGTTTCTTTCACTTGTGCTGGATAGTTTTTACACCTAAATTCTGCTCAGGAAATTAAATTTCAGCTTGGTAAAGAAAAGGCCAAAACAGAAGAGAAAAGAAAAATAGCAGACTGATTTAATGGGATCTTTAGATCTTCTCTCTGTACTGGGAAAAAAGTTTGGGTCTTGTCTTGTGTTTTTTTTCCTTGTAAGTATGTTCAACTGTATTCGAGAAAGTGATAAATAAACTGGAATCTGTTTGACTGTTATGGAGGCTTATTGGAAATCACACATCTGAAATAACTGAATCTGAATTTCTATTCACAACAACAGGAGTAATTTACAAATCTACATACTGAGTTCAAAGTTGTATTCTGTGCCAGACTATCTAAGTATTTCTCTGCATCATCATCATCATCATCATCATCATCATCAGCAGTGTGTATTATCACTCACCTCATGTTGGTTGGGACCTGCAACTTCAGAGACCACCAGCGAACAAATCATTGGAATTTGAAGTGGCAAATTTAACATTGAGGGCCCTTTGTTATCTTCAAATTATGTTCAAATAGCTGTGCGTATGTGTGTTTAACTACTTTAAAGTTACAAGGTGTTGTAAATGTGCTTCACTCAGTGGTTAAAAGATAAACATAACATCAAGAAAAAACACAAGTAAAAGGTTACTCATGTCTCAGTCATACAGTATCGCCCCCCCTGCAATATCGTATGATGTTGGTACTGTATGACGTTGATACATGAGTAGCCATTTACTCGTGCTTTTTTGTTACCATGCTTCTTTATTCAGGTGCCCAGCCAGGTCTGTCATGTTTCCTCTGCAATTCATCATGTAACATGCACCAGACCAGAACTGTTTCACTGGCAAGCAGTAGGAATTTTAAAATAAGTGTATCTCAAAGATGACGATGTAGGTCAATGTTTAGACTTTTCTTTGATTTCAGTGAATCATTGTTTCACTGATGAGTCCAGATAGATGAGTTGTTATTCCTTTCTAATCTTGCCAAATGTTTCACAGCCAAAAATTCCTCCCTTCAACACTCTGTATGAACTGAGAAATAAGCCACATGGCCAGGCTGTAAATATGTTAAAAGTTTGCATTAAAATGTTTTTTTTATCACAAAGAATTGTAAACTGCGTGCATTTGTTATAGTTAGTGTTGTAGTGCAATCTAGCTGCCCTACCACAAACATACACAGTGTATGCTAAAGCCTGCCGTAGAGAGAGCATACCTCCCTCTCATGTTCATGCATAAAAAGTTGAAGCAGGGAGAGTAGCAGCTTTAGCAAAGTAGCAAAGACCTCGGAGTTCAGAATAAAGCAGACATCACTGATGATACACACAGTATGATGCAGAATTAGATATAGCATTAAAAGGAAGGGCTTAAAGGGATATTACGGCGCAAAATTAAGTTAGGGTCAAACACACCATAATACAGCATTAGACACCCCGTCGAGAGATGAATGTTGCCAACTGCTTGCTTCTCTCGTTATATTAACTTAAGTAACGACCGTACGATAGCAATACACAGCGGTCTCCATCTCCATGCACACACCTCAACCAAAACGCCACTCTATAGCCACAAATAATGCTCAGAGCAGCACCTAACTTCATCAACAGAACACATAGGGTCCTAGCCATATCACTTGCCACCAAACATCTTTTTAACTTTGCCTAATTTTTGTAGCCACTTAAATCCACCTTCAGAGTTGCTGTAGTTGTTGTCCTTACAGAACTGTACAGTGAAATTTTTATGTTGTGCAAAAAACTAAATAAATAAATCATATTTCCATTAATTGATTGAATATCTTTTGTACATCTAAATTCATGATGAGGTTTTAGACTTTAGGCGTCTCATCTGGTGTTGGTGAGGGTTATGGCATCATATTGTACCAGGGATTAAAATACTTCTGAGATCTGTAAAATACAAAGTTTGAGAAAAGTTGAGTGAATCAGCAACTACAGACTACAGATGACTCCTACAGATGAGTTCAAAGGAGCCAAGGTCCTCCATCAATGCGAGAGAATAACTGCACCGAAACATTCAGCACAAAAAGGTTGAAAGTCTAGTGTGGCTTATAAAAAGCCCTCAAGATTTTTTCAATAACAATGTCATTATAACAGAGGTGACTACAGAACACTGACATTATGAAGTGTATGCATAATTTCTTCCATTATGACCCTTCTGTTGTTACAGATCTTAATAGAAAACCTCTCAGTGGAATTCTGATGGCGTGCCACTCTTGACCCTTATTGATATTCTGTGCCACGCACTTAAGAGGTGAAGAGAAACTTTGTGGCTGCAGTTTGTCAAAGAGCACCTGAACCCTGGACCACGGGGTCAGGTCAATGTGTGCCAAACCCTCCAGCAGACAGGTTTGTTTGTGTGCTCGGGAGAGAACAGCACCGCTCGCATTCTGATGGAGTGCTCACCTTCTATATTTCTCTCTCACACTCCGCGGCTCTCTGTACTTCGATATGTGTCCCTGTAGCAGTCAGGTAGAGTAAAGTAAGGGAAGGAGGCAGGGTGAGAGGGGAGAGAAAGATGGAGAGAGGGGGAGAGTTCTGCCCTGCTGAGGAGAGGTTTCAATCAGTGAGCTTGGCAGTTGCTCCTCAGCGGAGGAATGCCAGGTCAGAGCTCGTTTCTTTGTTCTGGGAAGTTTCTCTGCTGGCTGGAGCTCTGCTGAACTCACTGGACTACTATCAGATGGCTGTGTCTACCCTGGTGGTGTAGTAGAGGAGCATAAAGAGAAAGAGACTGACATAGAAGGAGGGTGCCAGAAAGCCATTCAACAGAAGGGCAGTACAGGTCGTGCCAGGCCCAGGGCTCAGTTCAGGCATTTATATCAAGCAGCTGAAAACACCACTGATTTATTGGAATCTTCTGCCTAGTCTGACAAGTCAATTCTTGCTGAAAACACGAGTAAACAAACAGAAAAAAAAGATATGCCAAATGTTCAGGCTGAGAAGATCTGAGGAACACTTGCTGTCAAAGTCCACATTTGGGCCCAAAATTAACCAGAACTTGTCAAGAAAGGATGATTTTTGACTTGAGGAATGAAACTTGACGCATTTGGAAAGTCAGTGCATCAAACTTACAAAAACCTAATATTTTTTTAACCTTATATGGGAAAGCTTCATCCAATTTTGCATCATAGAAACAAACCCTAGTCTGCACAATTTTTCAGGCCCTGCTTTGTCGGGGATGATGAAGCTAAGCGGTTGAATCTCGCCTTATGTACAGAAGCTACAGCCCTCAAAGTAGGCAGCTCATTCCCATCTGTGGCCCTTTACCACATGTCATCCCCTACCCTCTCTTTCCATTGTCCTCTGAATAAAGGCATGAAAACCCCGAAAACACAAGTGAAAAAGTTTACATGCTCAACAAACTCAGGCATCAGATCAATTTCTTTCCCATTAGGCAGACCTAATCAGAATACTTTGAGTCTATTTGTGATGGTCCATTTCCATCCCAATCTCTTGTCCAGAAAGAATTTATCCTCTTTTTACACAGGCAGACAATTTCCCTAAAATGTCTCAAAATTTTCAGGGTGAACTGCATGTGTAAACGCAAACAGCTGCCCCAGTCTTTACCTGGGCTCACCCCTGCTAGCACCTTTAGTGAATTATCTGGAGAAGTCAGGTGCAGCAGGAAACACTCAGTGAGCGAGGTGGCTGGGGGGACGGGGTTTGTATTATGTGGCCTGTACAAATACAGAAAAGAAAAAGGCAATGGCGTTAATGTGAAGGTTTGACAGAGAATCATTTTCAAGACTAGAAAAGCACTCGGAGAGCGATTCACACCAAAACTTTTACTGTTACGTGTCTTTTATTAACTTTTATTTGTGTTTAAACTGGTATGTTCACTGTTCATAATGTTCCTAAAACAAGAAATGCCCTGACCCGGATTCAAACCCAGGACCTTCTTGCTGTGAGGTGACAGTGCTAACCACTACACCACTGTACCACCCATCTACACCACTGTGCCACCTATTGGTTATCTTTCAGCATTGAAAATTCCAACGACACCCTTATTTTTGTGTTTTCTGGATCACAGTATCCGGAATTTTGTCTGGATCAGGATCAACCTTTGACACCTCATAAAACTCATTGAGATCCTTTTGTGTCATTTGTTACTAAAGACTCTGGCCATTTTTATAGAGTTAAATGCAAAAATTCCAAAATTTGCCCGATCTCACAATGATAAAGAATCCTTCAAAATATTCCTGGATCCAGAAGGCGATCCAGATCACCACCAATATTTAATGGGATCCTCCTGGGGTTGAGACGCACCTCTGGTGAAAATTTCAGGTCAATCCATCTGTATCTTTCTTTATAAAGTTGCTAACAAACAAACAAACAAACAAACCAACAATCAAACCAACAAACAAACCAACGCTACCGAAAACATAACCTCCATAAGGTAATAAGAACAGCAAAGATTTCTGCACAATATTCATCAAAGCACAAAAACTGCCCTCATAGTGTTTTCTTATCCACGGCCTTTTTGTAAACTTCACACTGTGGCGTTTTTAGCTCCAATCTTACTCCTTACATATTCAAAGTACAAGGGAAAGCATTTTTGGCTTAAACAAAAACAGGAAATAAGCCCTCTGTAAAATCCTGGAGGACTTGAACATACCACGCTTGTGAAGAAATAAAAGTACAACTGAAGTAAAAAAGCAACAAACTCTGTGTTCACTTTTGTGAGCCTGCTGACCGAAAAGCTGAAATCTTTCTTTTGGAGCAGAAAAAACTCGACTTCTCTCAGAATAAACAACATATTTATGTCATCCCACCTGTGGCTTTAGTGATGGATACGCCATCAAAGGTTTCAGGTTTTAATGAGTCAGCTGGGCTACTGCCAAGCTAAACAAAGTCATATTGCAGATCTGATTGAGACCACCACTGGCTGTGTGGCAAATAATGAGCCTGTCCTGAGCCTTTTGCTTTGAGTCAGAGGACACAGAATCCACAGCAAAGATCTGAGTGGGCTCTGTTAGCATGCAGTGAACTCCACAAAGCCCTCGACCTGGACAGACCGACAGCCAGGAAGGATTGCCAAGTAAAACCATAAGTCAAGAGGCAGAAGAAGGACATGACATGAGAGACAAAGACAGGGAGGCAGAGTTTTACAGAAGAAAACCTGCAAGAGAGAGAGAGAGACGAGGACAGAAAAAAAAGGCAGCAGACGGGGAAAACAGAGTCAGACAGAAAGGAGTGAATAAGAAAGTAATAAGAGAGACAGAGGAGACCTGAGACTGAATGCACACATACACAGACACACACCAGTCCGGGTACCAAACCATCTAAATTGAGTGCAAATAAAGAACCGCAGCAGTGTTTGGCAACCCTCCAATTGCCATGCAGGAAGTGTAAAGACAGAGTGATTGAGTAGTTTTTCGGACTAACATCATTGTGCCTTCAGATGAGGCAAACCCTCATCCGTCATCCCACCGAAGACAGTCAGTTATTGGAGCTGTTATGAGCGATGATGTTAATTATGTATCCGACTATTTTTACACCAAGAAACAAGGGCAGATCGGATCATTACCGAGGCTCGGGCTGAAGACAGGTTGTCAGGTAGATGCTGTGGATTGAAAGTAGAGCAGACAGATGGGCGTGTGAGGCCATGATTACTGGAGGATGAGAGATGATTGCAGTAGAGATGGCCACCATCATTAATCAAATAATGGTCAATATGTTCCAGCGTGGCAGTGGCCGCAATGCACAAGAGAGGCACAAGAGTTACAAACAGAACCCAAAACAATAAGTTCAGAAGCTGAAGAGTATTTATGACCCGGAGTAGACCTGGAGTAGACTTTTTATATTCAATCATGTTCACCAGAAGAATTTATACAACAGCAGGCACACAATCAGAAACCTGGTAGATAGTAGGAATGGGAGAAAAAATAGATACAGCATAGTATCACGATTTTTTGTCTGGTGATATATCGTATTGTCTCACTGACCAAGTGTCGATTTTTTTTCAAATTCATTGTTAATATGAAGTCAAATCTATGATAATGGAAAAAACAAAATCAACTGTTTGTCCTGAGAGGTTGGCAGAGGTGACATCATAGAGCAGGAGAAAGTTAGTACAACAAATATAGACGCATCAGGGGAAAGACATAAAGAATTAACCTTATGCGTCACACCTGAAACATAAGGTTAGCAAGATGTGCTACATGAAAATAAAATATAGTGTAAATAAGACAAATATAAAGGAAATACAAATGCTACATTGCCTTAACAATTGAAAAAAACGGTATGAATCACAATATATTGTATTGCAATAATCACTGTATTGCAAAATGTTAAAAACCACAATAACATTGTATCGTGGCCCAAGTATTGTGATGATACCATATCGTGGGGTCACTGTTGATTCCCACCCCTAGTAGATAGGTGTGGGTCTTTGTGTGTATAGACCAAAGACTACATAATAACCTGACGCAGAATTATCAACATCACCCATTTATTTCTATAATCGAGTTCTGAAGCCTCATGGCAGTGATTGTCAAGTTAGTAATGCCTAACTTTAGGTCAACCTTACCAGAGTTAGCCTTGCCTCTGATTCGCAGATCATGTAGCCTCAAGAACTTCAAGATAAAGGTGGTACAAAAAGAAGTTATTCCCCATACAGTGGATGTCATGGAGGCTTTGAGCTGTTTGGACCGAATCTTTGTTTGTACCAGGCTGTAAACATGTTTATTTTTGCCCTAAAAACTGTTTTTTTGGCTTCATGTGTACGTGGTGCAGCTCGACTCTAGCAGGCACCTGAGGAACAGTAGTTTTTGGCACTCCAACATCGACTTCTCTTACTGAAATTTATTCACTTACCGACAATCTATTCAAGATGTTATATTTAAACATTTGTACCCATTTGTTTCTGAAGTATAAGGACCAAATATGTTGTTTGTTTGTTTGTTTGTTCCTTGCAGCTGCTCACCATGGAAAGTCTTCAACTGTCTTGGTAAACACTACTTCATTGGCTGTTGTCTCTGAGCATGGTTTTTAATGTCTGCAGTGTGTTCATTAAACAAGCTAAGCATATTATAATCAAAAAATTTGTATTTGGCAGAATTCTTGTGTTTGGGGTGCCAGTTTGTTGCCCAGTTGATGAAGTTGGGGCGCCAATGTTCTCGTTTTGACGGCTCATCTGTCACTCGACCTCTCTTCAGTCTGTTCGCTGAGTACAGACGGTGTGTGTACATAAGTTTGCCCTTGACACCCTAGGGCTGTTTGTATTCTTGCAATATCTGCATGTAAAAGTTTTTAAAACCCCAGCGTGGAACAAACACTTTCAAGCCAGAAGATTTTAGGCTGTAATGGCCATATGGCGGGTCGTACTTCTCCCATGACTAAGTATCATATGTTTCTATAGCCCGAATTAGCATTTCCTTTGGCAACTGAATTTTCTCAGCAAATCCTTCTCAAAGTGATGGCAATACTCCTGCAGTCTGGGTTCAGCACCAACCAACTAAGGAGATAATGGATTAAGAAAAACAAATAACCCACAGTGTTTAAGTCCCCTAGTGAGGAATTATGTGAGCCAGACCTTTCTCCAGCGCTGGCACAAAGTAGTGCAGAAATAGGTCTGTCTTTGGAGGGCTAACTGCTGGTTAACAAACCATGAATAATGAACTACATGGAGAGGAAAGACTCTACCTGAAACCCGAGAGTTTAGAGACCTACAAATGCAGAGAAACCCATACAGCAGCTGTAATCCAAATAAACACAAGTCCTTGTAAATTTACAGCTACATTTATAGAGAGAGTAGTTTTTTTCCTGCGCTGTCAGACCCCCCCTACACTGCTCCTGAAGACTGAGCCAGAGATGTCATAGCAGCCAACAGGTTGTTGTTTTTTATTTTATATACAAAAAAGGAAGTTTTACAGTAGAAACACAGCTAAACCCTTCCATCGGCACTCTGTCCAATCATCCATGCACAAAGTTTTAATCATTGATTTGTTGGCTGCAGTTGTGATTGGTGGGACTTCTCTGTGGTGTAATGGATGATCTTGTTTGTGTGCGTCTGTGTGGCCTTGACCCTGCCTGGCAAATAAAGCACAGTTCATACAGGAATAAAAGAAACACTCACTCAGACACACATCCTTTAGGTGTGCGCACACACACCCACACACACACAAACTGTGACCACAGCCTGTCTGCAAGGTCAAACCGGTGTATCAGCAGCATCCACTACCCCACTCATCCTTTTCTCCATCTTTCCCCCATCCCTCTTTCTCTCTCTCTCTCTCTCTGTCTGTCTGAACGTGTCACCTTTCTGCCCTTATCCTCTCCACCCTCCCTTCCTATCCCCTCTTCCATCTCCATGTGTCAGTGATCCCAGTCCCTTCCTCCCATATCACTTTCCTCCTCTCCTCCTTTCCTCTTCCCTTCGTCCTCTCCTGGTGGGACAACTCCTGACCTCATGGCCTGACCCTTTGCTCCGACTCTCCTGCTCTTCCCAGTAACACCAGCTGTCAATCCAGTCTGCCCATAGCAGTACTGCTGAAAAAGACTTTGCTGTAGTCCAAATAAAACAAAAACTGTGCCTTGGCATAGAAAGCTGATACTCAAAACCCCCAACTTTATTTGTTTGAACACCAAACATCGGACATATTTCAGGATAAAATCATGCATCTTCAGGCTTCTTTCCTGCGGTAGTGTTCACCAGCACAGCTGAAAAAATATCAGCTCTAAGCCACTTTGTTTTCTTTTTTTTTTTTAGTTAATTTTAAATGGGAATATTTAGGACTAAGTCAACATGTACAGTGGTCATGCTGGTCCTGCAGTGACTACGCGGTGTTTATTGACCACCATGAGACTGCTATTGAAAGCAAGTGGGATGACCCTTTGTGCGAGAATAATGCAAAAGCATCATGACCCACTTTAATTTCTCTAAATGATGGCTTCATACAATGAGAAGGGCAGATCTTCAGTTGGCCTTAATGATGAGTTTTCAATGAAAAGAATAGAATATAATAATTAAAGCTGCTTAACTAACAGCTATTTGGTTGGATCAATTAAAGTTCCTGTGAGGAGATTTTTTAATGTTAATGAAACAGATTGGAGTTTATAAAGATGCCTTTTTATGATATCCAAAAGTAAACAAGACCATCAATGATAAGATTGAATGTCAATATTTTTAATGCCTGAAACAAGTTCAGGGGGGTAGATGATAGCCAAGCACATTTTCTTAGATAATATTCATAATAGGGCGACCATACGTCCTCTTTTACCCGGACATGTCCTCTTTTTGGGGGGGTGTCCAGCTTTGTCCGGCTTTGTCTGGGGAAGTTTATAAAATGCTTCAAATGTCTGCAGTTTTGTACCTAAGTTTTGAGTTTGACCTTACCGAGTCAGAAGCGCATAAAAGACATTCGAAAATTCTCAAAATTAACTTCTACGTTCTTTTGGCAAGTCAGAATATGGTCACCCTAATTCATGATAAATTGTAGGTTTGACTGTCCAAAATCAGCAGGGTGAGATTTTTAGGTCAAAAGGCACCAACCACTTAGTCACATGGGAGTTTTAATGACTTTATTTAACTATCACCTTTAAATAAACATAACTATTCAACACTCTAACCACTTCAGCCAAACAGTTAATTCTCATACATCCCATCTATACAGACTATAAAGCAGGTGGTCTGAGTGTGACACAAACCATTGTGTATTGCTGCATATCATCCCCCCGACCAGTTTCTTGCATTAACCCTTTTCCTATTCTCTCCATAAAAATAAATAAATAAATAAATAAAAATCAAAAAAAAAAAAACTTGAAACATTCAATGAATATATCAACTCAATCCATATTTTTGTCTTGGCTTCAAACATAACTAATGCCAACGTAAGACGGATGATTCTGTTTTAATGTGTGTCATGGTCAGAGTTTGCTCTATCGTTTTATGACAGGAGAGGAGGAGGGAGAGAGAAAGATGAAGTGTTTGTGTGGCTGTAAATTTGGTTTGTCAAGCTGAGTGTCTTAGACTATTAAAAGAGAAACATCCAGTCTGTGCTTCTTCGAAAAAGTGACGTCCACTTAACAAATATTTCTGGCAATTTATTTTTTTGTCTTGTTTTATTTATTTATTTATTTTGTTTTGGTGTCCAGGGTGAAACGCTCCAGGAATTAGGAGGCAATGGTGTGGGACAGGCTGCTGTTATTTTTGATATGTAACTGCTACCTGCCACTTCGATGCGAGATGGCAGTGAAATCAAAATGCACCATGATGTAACCTACAAACTTTGCCCTATTAGTAACTAAGCTGACAGGCTGTTCAAGGACAGTTAGCAGGCTGTTAAAGCACATGAGCTCGGAGCACTTCTTTTCTCTGTTTTGGTCAAACTCTCCATGGAATAAAATGTACCAAAAAGCTGAGGAAGAGTAAAGGGCTCAGTAGACCTTGTAGAAAAGATAGAAAAAAAACTTGGTTGTATTAAAACTGAATGGCAATAGATTGTTTCTACTTTGCTGGCAAATTGACTTTTCAGGTCCTCACTCACCAACAACAGAAATCTACCATCCAACACAACAGCAGACACTCTGTACAAAAGTTCTTGAAGCAGATGTGTTTTGCAAAGGTCTGAGTCTTAGTTTGTCTTTGTGAAAGCTTTAACAGTTGTTCATAAAAACACTATTGGTATATTATTGAAGCAGCTTTGACTCCTTGGGCATGAAAGCTGAGAATATTTAACACAAACCCAGTCTCTGTAGCTAGGGGTCAGTTTGCAGAAGCCATCGCCCCGCTCTCAACATCTGGTTGGCCTTACACCAAACCCATATGCTTATCCTAATAAACAGCATGCCAACATGGCAGCCACATTGGTTTCTTGTGCTGTTTCTGGGCTGTACCTTGTGTGACTTGAGGTAAGACTTCAGACTTGGCTCGGATGTATATTGAATTCTTTGAGATTTTGACTTGAACTTCCCCCGGACTTAAAACAGCTCTGTAAATAAGCTGTCCGCTTTATATTGCTGATATATCACATCTACAGCTTTTTGTTCCTTTTAACTTCACCTTTCTTTTTTCGGCTGCACCACATATTTGTCTATCTGAATGTTTTTCTCACAGACCTCAGAACCTCTCTTATCCTCCCAGTCCAGCCTGGCCCAGACCTGGCCAACTTATCACCCGAGCCAACCCATCTTCTCTCCATTACACCACAAACAAATTGGTCTGTTACACCTCTGTCTGGGCCCAGATTGCATTTCTCTTCTCATCCTTCACTGCCTAAACATTCTTTCTTCCTCACTGTGACATTTTCAGCTCCCTGCATCCACACTTTCACATTGCCCTCCCTGGTCAGACAACTTCTTTCTCTTCACATGTGCCCTAGCTGATAAGCTGCTTTTTGCTTGTCAAGAGTGAATCCCATCTCATGCGCTCCTTGCATACACACGCATACATACCCATGGTGAGTGAAATCACATCACTAGAGTGAGCATGAGATAAAAATATGACTTATTTCACTCATGCATCCACAACTAGGCACACACAACACCCACAAATAGATTGATTTTGGTCACTTTGGTAGTATCACATGTGCGCCATTTTTACCAGATTGTATCTAAAGAGAGAATAAAAGATGCCAGATGCAAAAACCTTTTACATTTACAAAGTATAGTGCACCAAAGTTCATATGTGTAGAATTTGTGCTCTTAAAGTCTTCATGTCCTAAAATAACTTTTGGTATCGGGCAATCATGATCATCACTTTGCTGGGCAACCATCTGAGACTCCAAGAAGTGAAGCCAAAGCCGAGCTATCTGATCCCCCATGTTCTCAGTATTTTTGCAAAGTTATGCAAGCTAGCTTCTGGCAGCAGCTTCGTGTTTACTGAATAGGCTTGACAGTGTTATCACTCCTCTTATCGAAGTCCTGGCAAAAAGAGTAAATACCCATATTTCTCATAAAGCAGGGACTTTCTGTTGCTTAGACACAAATTAAGACCCTGACTCCTCTGAGGCAAAACAAGTCAAGATCCTGGATTCTTAGAAAGGTTTTTGGAAAAGTCCCCTTGGTGAAAAAAAGGCTTTTAGACATACGCATACAGTAAATCACTTACACACAACTAATGTTCTTATATTGGAGTAGGCTGTCTACCACTTGAGCTTTGAGTTTACACAGCCTGAAATCCTGAAATCTTTTCCCGCTTGTGTTCTCTCTGGTTTTTCGGCCTGTCTCAGGTCACATGTGAGGTCTTGCCAGTGAGTTAAAGTCTTAACTGTAGCTTTAGTGTTTCTTTCAATACTCTCCACTGAGTAAAATGATTTAACCACAGGATGCTATCGGCTTTCACTGCAGGCGGAGACACAGTATGACAGAAATACTCCACCACTTACCAACATATGTCAAACACACCCACATAAACACACATGGAGTACTCATGTACCAACAGAGACATGCTAACATACACCCTACCCTGATTTTACAAACCATTATGTTGTGCAGTGCACAGATTTGTTCCTGTTTGCTCATATCTGTCAATACAGTCTTTTAATCAAACAGTCTTCCTCACCCCTTTTCACTCCCCCTGCCTCCCACACACTCTCGCAGTACAAACATATTGACTGGGATTTCAGGGGCGGATTACAGAGAAGGAAAAATACAAACTTGAGGAGCTGTGGCAGGTGATGAAAGTCTGACAGACACGCACAGTCCATTTTCAGTGTGTGCCGTAAAGAGCACTGGATCTGGCCTGGTTCTGTGAGGCTGCATTAATGATGTGACCCATGTCCCCATATTTCTGTGTGCACCTGCATGTATGCACATGAATGTTAGAATGAGTGTTCATTCCTAGGTGTATTGTCTCAGGAGAAAGCCTCTGCAAGCACAGTTTGGAGTCACACCACAGTCTAAAACGTAGGAGGTCACAAGGGTTAATACAATGTGGGACTGAGAGTTGTAGGATGGAACGGAGGGAATGCAAATTGATCCATCCAAGAACTGCAAATACAAATATGTAGGTTCAGTGCTTCTTTCCTCTATGAAGGAAAGTGTGAATAAAACACAACCTGGAAGTGCAGCCTGCTTTGTATCCAGTAAGTATAGGGATACATTTTCACAGATTAGCATAGAAATTGGCACAAGAAATCAGTGTGGGTCACAAGACATGAAAAAACTTTTTTTAATAAATGTGGTTCCCAGGAGCAAAATCTGACAAGAACAGTGGGGCCTGAAGTGATCTCCATTTTTCATCAGTGCTCCATTCAGGCTGACCATAAAAAGCTCACAGTGGAAGTCCGCAGGCTGTGCCAGGATCCTGCCTGCCTCGCAACACAGCACAAAGAGGAGACACAGTGATGTTTCCGTATGGAGCGTGGCCATGGAGCTGCAAGATAATCAACCCCATGGCTGCCTGTGCAAGCTTGTGACTCCGGTCCACTGCCAGAAAAAGCAGGAAGTGGAGCATTTATCTGTGAGCGCCATCATCATGGGATAGATGTCAAATCAAGTTTATCTCCAACAGCCAAAATCCAAGTTTGCTCAAGAGAGATCCTCAATTACCTTTCGCCTCCCCAGAATTAAACAATGTATCTTAAAAAAAATCTTTATCTGGAAACTAGTATGAGAAAGCTAACACACAGCAGAAACCAAGACACACACCCACAAGAGTCTTGTGAACATGTGAAGATGGACTTATATGTCTTATAGGTCTTTACAGCTTGAGAGCAGGGAGTACTAAATGGATAATGATAAGAGCATTGATGTGCCTGCACTGTATAACATAAAGGCTCAATTTACCTTCAAACACGTTAAAAATTCAGTTCTGCTTTTAAGAAATGACATTTCCGCAACATTATTCAGCAAGACTACTCCACCATAATCAGAAATTATTCACACATCAACACTTAGCACACATCTGCACACCCACACCGCAGTGAAACGTGCCACAACATTTCCCGATAAAGTTCATAAGACAGGCAACTGACTCTGAGAAATTAAGCAGTCACACTTTCTGTGTGATGCTCGACTTAGTGTCAACCGATTTCAAGCCTGAGTGTAAAAATGTAACGGATTTTCCAGAGCTGTAATAGTTTGAAAACCAGTTTGAAAATATGAAGTATGTTCACTAGAGTGGGTGTCACGAGGTCAGAGGTCGGGTGAGGGTCAGCTGTTAGTTTACTGGTAATAGTTAGATATGAGCATGAAGCGGCACAGTGCAGTTAGCATTTTATCATCTGTATGGGAGGTTTTAAGAATGATTATACTTTTCTCAAAGCTTCTATAAAGAGTTTCTTGACTTTTATGATGTAGAATGAAATCAATATTGATGCTTTCTCATGATATCCAAAGCTAGCAGAACCATCAGCCACAAGATTGAGGATTTTTAAAGTTTAACTTTCAATACCTGAAGCTGGTGTGAGGGGGTAGGTGTTAGCTGAACAGCCAAGAGACAGTATTCAGTCACGTAGAGGACAGGGGGTAACAAAAATGGCAGAAACTTAAAGTACCTTACAGGAGCCTTAAGTCGTGTTTCCCAGTCAAATTTGCTGTGAATATTTAATGTGGGAATTGTTAAACCAGTGCTGTTGCTTCTTCTGCACAGTTGACACCTTCCCCCCTCACACTTTTTTCAGGCATTAAAAATCGCATGATAAAAATTATCAATCTTGTTGCTCATGGTCTTATTTGCTTTAGTTTATTATCAAAAGGCATGAGTATGAATTTTAGTCTATTTTACAAATATTAAAAACTCCTTTAAGCATTTACTTCCAACAGAAAGTTGGATTTGAAGGTTAATATTGATTTCATGGCAGTACAGTAAAGCTAAAGCTCTAGTTTTGTGAAGCTAACAAACAAAAAAGACATGAAGTGGCTTTAAAGTTCCCATGTTTACATGTTATAGCTTGTTAGATTATTATAGCAAAGTATTCAAACCCTGTAAAACATACACAGAGAAGCTTAGCAGACTACTTCTTGAACTGGAGCAGTGTCTTTTATCATGGTGCCAGTTGGCCCGTCATGCAATGTTTGATCTAATTGCTTGATAAAGCCATAAAAATATAATGCAATGCAGATATAAAAGCACTGTTATAGCAGTGGAACAGTTGCAAACCATTGTTGAAGTTTTGATCACAGGTTTTCCTTTTTTGAACACGTGTCTCCTTTTATCCAAAACAGACAAAGGTACCATTCATGTTCACTTAACACTCTCCATGGAAAAAAAAACTCCATGTTGTCTTTCATAGTGTGTTTCTCAGCCATTTCTAGCCAACTTTGTGGCTGTGACCAATTTATCAGAGGGTACAGGATGATTAACTGTGGGCTCAGTTGATGGGCTGAACAAAGCATGACCCATATATGCACCTTGGAGATCTGAAGTTCACATGCTGAGTGTGAATCAAAGTGTGTACATACTAGTTCAATCAGATTTTTATCTCCATTTTTTATTATGTTCATATAAGATGGACATGAAAATGCAAATGACTATAAAGCCAGCCCAGGGCAGGGTGTGTAAAGTGTGATGAATGGATTGGTTAAATGATGGTACAAATACTTGTAAAACTGTGCTTGATTAAATGAACATTTTGTTGCACAATGATAAGATTTGATGGAAGGTTTGGAGGAAGAGAAGTGATGATACACATATCTGTAATATAAAAGAATTCTCAGCGCCCATCTGCACACACACAACACAATGATGCATGCCACTACCTATGCTAGTGAATTTTCTTAGTAATGCAACTGACAGTGCAAAAATAAAGTCATATGTAAAGGGATATTTCAGCGTCAAATTAAGTTAGCATCAAAGACACCGGAACACACAGAGTTAGACACCCCCTCGAGAGATGAATGTTGCCGACCAATTGCTTCTCTAGTTATACCAACTTTAGTAACAACCACACGACAGCAATACTGAGAGCCACACGCTAAACAAAAAACGCCACTCTATGGCCACAAATAATGCTCAGAATTGCACCTAACTTCTTCAACAGCACATACAGGGTCCCAGCCATAGTACGAGCCACCAAACATCTTTTTAGCTTTGCCTCATTTCTTTAGCAAAGAGACTAAATACAACTCACCTACTCTCCTTCAGAAGCCACTTGTTTGTAGGGAGCCCTGAGGAGTCCGTCACCGAGTGCAGCAGATCATTTCCTGTGAGGGGCCGAGAGTGTGTGGACCCAAAAGCAGAGGACGTGAGGCAGTTGTTCAGTTTCCAAAAAGGCAAAGTCTTTTAATCCAACAAAAACACAGCAGGGTCAAAATCAACAGAGCAGCAAATAATCAGGTGACAAAACCAGTGGGGCAGGCAAGAATCAGAAGTCCAGGGCGATCAAAACAGGTCATACACAGAGAGCAGAGAAATATCAAAAACGCGAGAGAGCTTGTACAAAAGTGACAAAGACAATCTGGCAGGGAAGAGCTAGTGAGGAGGGGTTAAATAGAGAAGGGGACAAGACACAGGTGAAGCCAATGGAGTAATTAACTAAGGCGGGAAAAAGAACAAAGACCGGAAGTAAAAGTAACAGCAACACAGGGAAAACAGGATCTTCAAAATAAAACAGGAAGTGGATTCAACAAAACACAGATCACGACAATTTCCATGAAGTAATAATCATCATATTGATCATTTTGCATTTTGCACTGCAGACGCGGTAGTTCTTCTGCCACAGCGTCTCGGTCTGATTGCATTTCCATGAAAAAATGATCATAAATGTTCTTCCTTGAGCTGTGTCACCCCGCTGCAGTCAGTAATGGACTCGTCTGAGGTCTCCACACAAACTAGCAGCTGCTGGAAGAGAGTAGGTGAGTTGTGTTTAGTCTCTTTGCTAAAGAAATTAGGCAAACCTAAAAAGATGTTTGGTGGCTAGTACTATGGCTGGGACCCTGTATGTACTGTTGATGAAGTTAGGTGCTGTTCTGAGCATTATTTGTGGCTATAGAGTGGCTTTTTGGTTGAGTGTGTGGCTGCTGAAACCACTGTGTATTGTTATTGTGTGGTTGTCACTAAAGTTGATATAACTAGAGAAGCAAGCAGTCGGCAACATTCATCTCTTCAGGGGTGTCTAACTCGGTGTTGCAGTGTGTTTGACCCTAACTTAATTTGACGCTGGATTATCCCTTTGATCTGAGGATTCCTGTGTGATGCTCAGCTCAGCATCATGCTGAGGCGTTCAAGTTCAACTGAATTGATGGTGCAACAATAATATGAAAAGGAACATAAAGATATCAAACCTGTGCACTATAGCTAGGGTTATGGGTCAGAGGTCATATTGAGGTTACATAATCTGTAGCTATAGAGCCATAAGTAAAACACATTGACAAAATGTGAAATACATCAGGAGTCTTGTCACTTCCATGAGGACGCCAAAAAGCCTGGTAATCAATGTAATCAAAGTTATTATCATGTAAGGGTTTGAAAATAACAGAATCAAAAGCTGCATCTGCTGTTTTGCATTACGAGGTTATTGTGTAATGGTTTTTATGCTTTATCTTTGTGTTATCGACATAGTGTGAACCCCAACACACCAGCATACCCACAGCATGTAACCACATTACTTCACCCTGTCTCTCCATGTAGGTCAAAATACTTCAACTGAAGAGAGACAGGAATAAAGTGAGGGCATTTCCAAAACATTGTTTGATTCAAGTTTAATCAAGACTCCACCGATAACCTGTTGAGTCATCACAGCTTCAAAAGATGTTTCACATAGATTAGCATAAATCGCATCATTGTGCTTTACGTATTTATGGTGGAGTATCCATGGTAACTATGTGGGTGGTTTATTGGACACGTACATTTTGAGCCATCAGTGACATGTGTGCATTGTTTGTAGTACTATAATGTTTAGGGAAATTATTGCCATTCCCGCTGAGCTGTAATAATTACCTACATGCTTTTAGGGTTTGAAGGGCAACAGCTGTTGGCACTGGATGATAATTTGTATCCAGTGATGAATTAGTAAAGCAGTTGGTACAGAAAAATAAACGAACACAGCTGGATATGTTTGATGTTTCTGTGTTACAGAATAAAACTGTGATACTACCTTCAACTGAAGTAAAATGAACATGATGATATGGCTGAAGAGAAGCGTGTGGTACGGATTTTTAATGGGACGATAATCAATCTACTGATCAGCACATCTCAGTGGACGTAATCCCACAGCGGACCTCGATAAAAAGCAGCACATCAAGTGGGCAACACTCAAACTCCTACACCTTAGTCTCCAGGGAGCTCCAACACAAACAAAACTTCTAATAATTAGATGAGTGTGTATCCCACACAGTTAATTGCCTCATCATGTTGTCTCTCTGGATTCAAGCAGTAATATGTTATCGTTATGCCCGACAATGAAACGCATAGACATGATTTATCTCCCAACACTTGATCACTACACATATAGGATCCCTCTGGCTCTCTGAAGATGGGTCTTCTCAACACTAATGTGAGGGAACACTTGTGTTTGGTATGAGTGCTACTCAACACACCCTCACTGCTAATATTTGTTTAATTATTAGAGTCTCCTAACAGTGTTTGTACAAGCACTAGTATTCAAGATGTGCATATGCAAAGCAAAATTAACAGTGTATGTTTTCATTTGTCCTGTGTGTCTGTAGGAGTTGGAAACAGCTGTAAGATAGAAAACAGAAAGAACATGGAGGATGTCGGTGTAGTAATTTAATGGTAGAGTTAAAAGTGTGCTGGATGAGAGAGGACTTTCAGAAACATGAGCCGTACCATCAACCATCTCAAGCATACTTTAGACATAATAGGATCGAGTTCAACAAGATGCCGAAATAGTTGAGCCAAAATAACTTCTCCAATAGCACTTAGCCTGCGTGAAGTTGTTTGTTTGAGAAGGATCGACTTCAGTTTTCAATGACTTTTTACTCTCTATCTATAGAACTGAAAGTGCAGAAATTCCTCAGGACTACAGGTTCGGCAAAACAAATCAAATGCAGTACAAAGATCATGAAAGTGTACAAAATCAGTGCCAATTATTCAAACTCCTCTTTTCATTCATAAAGATTTTGTTTTCTTTTGAAAAAAGAACATGTTTAATTTTTTGGATTATCTCTGCTCTTTGTGGCTCAGACTTGACTTTTACATCTGGTTTTACTGTCGACCACTTTTCCACTTTGGAACAAGGAATGATACAGCAAACAAAAACACTGAAATGGACAAACAATGGAGTTTGACACAATGGACAAACTCAAAACAACAACACCTGTTTGATTCTTATCTGGCTTTCTTGATGATTACCAGGCTCTGCTCAGTTCTTGATTATAATCGGTCAAACCTCATAACAATAGTGACTCATTTTCAACTCGAAAAGCACTCAGAGAGCACAGACCTCCGCCAAGCAGCTCATGTCCCCCCTTATATTGTGATTCACACCAAAACTTTTACTGTTACGTGTATTTTATTAACTTTTATTTGTGTTTAAACTGGTATGTTCACTGTTCATCATGTTCCTAAAACAAGAAATGCCCTGACCCGGATTCAAACCCAGGACCTTCTGGCTGTGAGGTGACAGTGCTAACCACTACACCACTGTACCGCCTATCTACACCACTGTGCCGCCCATTGGTTATCTTTCAGCATTGAAAATTCCAATGACACCCTTATTTTTGTGTGTTCTGGATCACAGTATCTGGAATTTTGTCTGGATCAGGATCAACCTTTGACACCTCATAAAACTCATTGAGATCCTTTTGTGTCATTTTTTACTAAAGACTCTGGACATTTTTATAGAGTTAAATGCAAAAATCACAATTATATCACAATATCACAATGACAAAGAATCCTTCAAAAAATTCCTGGATCCAGAAGGCGATCCAGATCACCACCAAAATGTAATGGGATCCTCCTGGGGCTGAGACGCACCTCTGGTGAAAATTTCAGGTCAATCCATCTGTAACTTTCTCCGTAAAGTTGCAGACAAACAAACAAGCAAACAAACAAACAACTGCATAAATATATGCTACTCATATTTGCATGGCTACTCATTCTCTAAACATTATATTGTACATAACTACTGAGGACTGAACCTTAAAAGACTCATAAAAAGTTTCTCTGATTTGCTGGACATCAACTTGCATTGGTTTGCACTGGACTTAAGCGCTAAGTCAACTTTCTGTCATGATGTAGTTTCATTTTACATGATTCTTCCATCAGGATTCATCCTAATGCAAGTCAGTGTTTGCTGTAGTTAAGCTCAAGTGACCACGGAATTCAAGATACTTTTCATGCACATTTTCCCACACCACAAAAGTTTATCCTTCTCCGTAAAGACATAAATTACACGATCATTGTTCCACTGCTGGGTTAGAAACCCAACCCTGCAGATTGTTGCCACCTGGAGAGAGAACCCTCCACTTTTTAAATCCCTAGCCCTCATTCTGACAGTGATACCTGCTGCTCGCTCCAAGAGAAGACAGCGATAGTCGAGATGAACATGATGATAGGGAGAGTGATGGGGGCGCTGATGATGATGATGATGATGATGGTTGTTTGTTATTGCTCTCAATGACGGCGTCAAGTCTTTTACAGGTAAAGAGATCGGCTGGCTGTATCAGGTTGCCGGTGGGGGTCCGGGCCAGCAGTAGCAGCAGCAGGATGGGTGAAATCACATTAAGTGGAATGAATATGATTGGGCCCCGGGTTTGTCTACAACACACAGGCCTCCAACTGTTCCTGGATTACATCGTGAAGGGCATCAAAGAAGGATCCAGAAATTGCACGCAATTTACAGGAGGGTGTCCAGAGGTAAGTGCAGACTTGTGTTTATTTGAATTTGAGAGCGAGTGTGTCTGGAGTAAACTCTGAACAGTGAGAGAGACGTATGGGAAGCCTCTTGAAGACAAAACCAGGCAGAAAAAGCACCACTTCAAAACTATAGAAGCGCCTATTTTTACGCCCTGCAGTAAAGAACACCCCACTACTTAGACTGTCAAACAAGCCCCTGGAGTGTCACCCTGTCTTGTAGAGGCACATGCACTCTGGTGGATGTCTCTATCTCTCTGTGTCACTTTGCTTCTGACAGCTTCTCTTTAGACTCTTATTCTCTGGATGGAACCACTTTTCTGATCCATCAATCGTGCAAAAGGCGGGCAAAGAGGACAGCAGAGGTGAAAGAGGAAGACAGAGAAGGAAGAGTGTGGTGGATGGAGATGAGGACGGAGTTGTTGGATGTATAGAGTGTCTTTCTCTGATTAAAATAACACGTTCTGGCTTGACACGATGTGCCATGCTGGCTGCGAGGTGGTGTTTGCTGTGCAAAGGCCCCCGTGGTCGATAGCACTCCACCGTAGCGGAATATGAAAAGTATTGATCGGCTTTTTTACCGCGACAGCTTTGAGCGCGACGCCTGTGATGTTTCTGTAGCGAACCTTCAAAGTCAATACGCTTTTCTCTACATCACTCTGACTTGTAAAGAGAAAGGAGGGAGAAAAAGGGATTCCTGTCATACCAGACGGAGAGCGAGGTTTTACACAGAGCTGTAGTGTCGGAGAGGTCAGTTGTGGTTATTACCTCACAGATCTGATGCTGTTGAAGCAGAGGGAGAAAGGTGATGAGGGTGCAGGTCAGATGACGAAAGGTTAGAGCCAGAGAGATGCAGCCTGTGGCATGTAGAGACAGGCCAGAGTACGACAGATGAAGGACTAGCTGTGGCTTTGACCTCATGTCTTTCACACATGTACACATGAGGGTCACTCTTATGTTTGCGCATTAGCGAGACAAGACTTCTTCTTTTCTTTTTTTTCTGTCTTTATGGCACACACAGAGGAGAAAAAGTGCAGCTTTGAGACTTCAGACTGTGGAAAATCAATGGAATCAGGAAGAGGTGTCGGACACGTTTAAGGGCACAGATCTTGTGTAAAAGAAACCTCCTCCACAAAGAGTCCTACAGAGTGAAAACACACTCAGGACAATCCACACAGGTAAAGCTTGCTGATCTCAGATCAGAGTAAGGGGAGGTCTGCAGGGAGGAAGACAGTGAGACAGACAACCGGAATAACAGATCACGGAGCAGCGCTTGAGATCACAGAAAGCTGTCCAACTCAGGAGGAAACACAGACAGACACAGACGGAAACTGCAGTCAAGGAGCTTTTCCTGTTTCTCCTGAAAATTTGCATTGTTCTGAAACACTGCAAAACAAGCCTGTGTAGAGGCATTGTATGAAGGTGCAATCACAGTGTCTCTCGGCCTGATTATCTCTTTCGGTTGGGGCCATCAGGTCCACAAGAGTCTGGGACTCGGTAATTAGAATCGAATGAGTAAATGCGCCAGGGTGGCTGAGAATTGGACACATCTGCTGTGATCAGAGGAGAGGTGTGGCACTGCGGACCTCTAAGTAGCTGGATTAACCACTGGCCACGGGGCTATTGATGTTATTGAACTGACAGGCTGATGAATGGAGTCCTTCCGCAAGGTGTATGAGTCTGCTGCTGTAGCTAGTTAGTGTGTTCACAGGCCAGGCGCTGTGTCGAAAATACAGAGCTGCCAGCAATTAATCTTGAAAGCAAAAGAGTTTTGTTGGGGAGCCTTTGATTATTTGGGGGAGAGTCAAAATTTGCATGATTAACAGGAAAGGTGCCCTGGGGCCAGAATCCTCGACTACCTCCCAGTAACCAGTAATTAATCCAAGTTACAGAGGTTAACCTGCCGTCTGCTGCCACATGGGTCTGATGATTTGGGCGTTTGTATAAAGAAATAACTGTAATAACAATTGACAAATGCACAAAAATCAAAGTTTGTCACTTTCTTACACTGAAGGCAAAAATTTAAGCGTGTAAAGTCAATGTGTCACGGCTATAGTCCTTTCCACAGAGCATGGCTACAAATGGCTGCATGGTTGTCATAGTGATTGGCTGAGAGTTGTAAGTTTAAAGGGATATTCTGGAGTAAAATTAAGTTAGGGCACAACTCAACTACTCTCTTCCAGCAGCCACTTGTTTGTAGGGAGAGCTCGGACGAGTCGATCACCAAGAGCAGCGGGGTTACGCAGCTCAAGGAAGAACATTTATGGTCATTTCTGTGTGGAAATGCAATCAGACTGAGATGCTAATGCAGGAGAAGTACAGCGTCTGCAGTGCAAAACGATTAATATGCAGGAAGAGAGTGGGTGAGTTGTGTTTAGTCCCTTCGCTAAAGAAATCAGGCAAAGTTACAAAGATGTTTGATGGCTAATGCTATGGCTGGGACCCTATACGTACTGTTGGTGAAGTTAGGTGCTGTTCTAGGCATTATTTGTGGCTATAAAGTGGCGTTTTGGTTGAGGTTTGTGTGTGGCTCCTCAGACCGCTGTGTATTGCTATCGTGCGGTCGTTACTAAAGTTGGTATAACTAGAGAAGCAAGCGGTCGACAACATTCATCTCTTCAGGGGAGTCTAACTCAGTGTTACGGTGTGCTTGACCCTTAATTTGACGCCGGAATATCCCTTTAACAGGCAACAGGTTAAATCTTGTGTCTAATGATAACCACAGCTGCAAAAGTTCCTGACAGAGTTGTTTAGCTAATGCAGTGATAAGGTCATGAGGATTACTCGTATTTTTCTCTACATCCCTCCTCTCTGTCTGACAGGATGAGGTGTAATAGAGTCAGCTCCACTAAACCTTTGCCAAAGTGCAAATCACTTCTTGTTCAGACACACCGCCGCCCTGACCACAGCTGACCTGGATTCTCCTGCTCACAGAAAACAAATCTTGATCATCTGCATGACACAATCTTAACATACCACATCTGCCTTCTTTTTGATATACAGGGTGGAGAAATTAAAGCCAAACGTCTGGAAATAAATACACAAAAGGAAAAACAGGAGAATGAATGATAGAGGTGAAATAGAGAGTGGAAAACAGACTTCAGAGAACAACAACAAGTGGACGAGTTCAGACTCTAACCTGGCTTATAAACAGAGCCATCAGCACAATCAGATACTGGTAATATTTCATACACTGTTGGCCTCAGCTCTTATTTTTTCTTTCACTTGTCATGAGCTATCCTGGCGTTTCTTATCTAACTTGGCAGAGACTGATTTGGAAGAGGAACATTCATGTTTTTATTACTCTTATCACACATTTATTCAGGATTTTGGTTTAGTCGGGGAATTCAGACATTTTCCGACACGGTTCAAATTTGACATGTTTACATAATAGCTCTAATTTTGGGGTTATTTAAGTGTTAGATTGAGCTGAAGAAGATGTGTTATGGCATGAAGAACTTTTGAATGACTATAACCAAGTTTATTAAACAGAAATGTTACAATTTATGGCATTAGTTTTTCATTTCACACTCTGCATGTATGTGTTTGTACTGCAGTCAATAATTAAGGTTTCCTTTATTTCCTGGACAGATACACCATTAACTTAATTAACTTACTCCTTGTTTTAATTGCTCTTTAAATAAGGAGCCGCCATATTAATTAGAACCTAAGTCTTGAGTTAGTGCAACTGTCTGTGTGTGGCACACCAGAGCTGACTTTTCAAATTAGATCATTTCCATCGAATTTTCCAACAAACAAACAAACAAACAAACAAAAAAAAGGCAAAGTAAAGCTAAAAAAAAAACATTGAAGTGCCTTGGAAACTAATTTGCCAAGTGTCTCCTAGATTTCTGCTTCCTCTCCCTCCAAACAGCAGGATCCGAAGGAAAAAAAGATCTCTCTGAAGAGCTGAGAGGAGACAGGTTGTCACTGCTCTAACCGCAGAAATTAATTTCCTGAATGGTGGCTCTACATGCTGTTTATGGCTTTACAATAGTGGGA